GTGGTTTTTATTCTATATCCTTATCACAGCGAAGTGAAGTTTCTATTTCTGAGTAGTGGAAGATTTACATGATAAAGGAAAGTCTGTAAAAATAGATGGAACTGCTGTTTGCATTTCAGTCTGAGGTGCTAAGAGGCCACAGGGCTCTTCATCACTTCTTCCCACTCTGAAATAACATATATTACAGAGCTGGCTTGTGAAGGGGCTCAGGATGCAGGTCATTTGTTGCACACTGGAGTCTGAGATGCCTTAATTCAAGCAGAGATTTTGGGTGGTGTAGCTTAACAGGGGCATTCTGAAGAATGAAGTGTTGGGTTTGTTACTGATGGGAGATGAATTGAAGCTTAACTGGGTGTAAGTACAGGATCCAAAGTCTGTAAAGTTAATGAAGTTAATGTTCTTCACAGGTTGTTTTTGCGTGCACTCCTGGGACTACAGTTTCCTTCACCCATCTCCTGACTCAGGTTGTTTTTTTTTGCAGAGGGGTTGGTAATGCTGGAGACCCCAGAGTGCTCTGCTGCTGCCTCCTGAGGGGCAGTGGAGGGGCAGCTCCGATCTCTGCTCTGTGTGAACAGGGACAGCGCCCAGGGAACAGCTGGAGCTGTGTCAAGGGGGGTTAAGTTGGATCTCAGGGAAAGGTTCTTCCCCCAGAGGGTGGTTGGCACTGAACAGGCTCCCCAGGGCAGTGGGCACAGCCCCAAGGCTGCCAGAGCTCCAGGAGGGTTTGGACAACGCTCTGAGGGACAGGGTGGGATTGTTGGGGTGTCTGTGCAGGGTCAGGAGCTGGGCTGGATAGTCCTTGTGGGTCCCTTCCAGCTCAGGGTATTCTGTGATTCAGTGATATCTTTTTCTACATGTGCCTTTATGTTCTGTGACAATAAAGCAGCAAAAGGCAGGTTGCAAAAATGTGAGATTGGCTTAAAAATCTCAGTATGGAGAGGCTTACAAATAAGCATTGCTTTGTAGCATTTGTTTTCTTGTTTCTAAAGATTTAAGTTTCTCTCACTTCACATTTTCAAATCTTTTTCCATACCCAGGCGGAATAGAAACCCACTTTTTTTGTTTTGGGGACATTTTCTAAAGAGAGATAAGATTTTTTTACAGTTTTTCACACTTGGAGGAAAGCACCAGCTCTGGCAGGGCTTGAGGTACCAGCACAGGAGCTGATCCCATAGGGGGTTAACAAATGGTCAGGAGGGACGTTTGCTGCTTTTCTCTGCACAGCTCCAGAGCTGAGGGCCAGGAGCCCCTTGTTCACTCCAGCCCAGTGATGGCCCTGCTTGAACTGAAATCACTCAGGAGGAAACCAGTGGGCTCCAGTTCCCTGTCTGGTAGTGGCTGTGGCCTCAGCTGTTAGTGAGGAAGCAGGACCTGAGCTCTGTCCACACCATCCCCATCCACAGGGAGGTTACTTTGCCCTTAGGGCAGGTGTGACCTGTGGGCAGGGCAGGTGTCAGACACCACCCATCCATCTGGCCATCCATCCATCCCTCCCTCCATCCATCCCTGTACCCCTCCATCCCTCCCTCCGTCCATCCCTTTTGCCCCAGCCCTGTGCCAGTCACTGACTGTGTGCACCAGTAGCTTGTTTGGCTTAAACACGAAGCAAAACACCTGCATGGCACTAGTCCTCAAATCAAGAGTCTGACAGTGCCCACACTGCCCTGGAGGAATGCCAGCAGCTCTTGGAGAAGCAGGCTGGAAGCTCTTTCCACAGCATTTCTCTTTAGCTGCTCCATGCTGGGTCTCCATGTGGGGAATGTGTGAACCAAGCAGAAAGCACCTGTACGAGCAATTGGGACATCCTTCACCACAGCACCCTGCAGGACTGAAGGTGTACAGTTGTGTTCTCCCTCTGGACACACTTGATTTAGACCTAAGTGGGGCTCACTTTATAGAAAAAGCTACAAATTTGATCCTGACCCCAAAAATAGCAGGCAGGGAATGGGAGAATAGCCTTTGGAGTGGGGAACAATGGAATTTCATTTCACCTTAGTACTTGAACTACTCTCATATGATGTCAAAAAGGGTTTTCAGACATTGTAAAGTTTGAAAGAAGCCTTGAGGAGAAATTGTAACTCTTTCTGTTTACTGTTCAAAAGAGTGGAAAGTGTTGCTTTAAAGTGTCTTCTGGCGAGAAACTGTCACTTAGCAAGTTTTGGGATATGTCTGATGCCAGTGGTGCGAAAAGCTGCATAGAGGTGCAGAACAAAGCTGAGGCAGGTACACTCTGCAGCAAACAGGGACTGCCAGGGGGTGAAGAATGGGGAACAGACTGGGGACAGAATCATCTCATTCTACCCCCTGCCATGGGCAGGGACACCTTCCACCTGCCCAGGTTGCTCCAAGCCCCGTCCAACCTGGCCTTGGACACTTCCAGGGATGGGACAGCCACAGCTTCTCTGGGAAACCTGTGCCAGGGCCTCCCCACCCTCACAGGGAACAATTTCTTCTCAATATCCCATCTATCCCTGCCCTCTGGCAGTGGGAAGCCATTCCCCCTTGCCCTACCCCTCAATCCCTTGTTCCCAGTCCCTCTCCAACTCTCCTGGAGCCCCTTTAGGCCCTGGAAGGGGCTCTGAGGTGTCCCTGGATCCTTCTCTTCTCCAGGAGAACCCCCCCCAGCTCCCCCAGCCTGGCTCCAGAGCAAAGGGGCTCCAGCCCTGGGAGCATCTCTGTGGCCTCCTCTGAACTTGTTCCAGCAGCTCCACGTCCTTCTTGTGTTGAGGAATGCAGAGTTGGAGGCAACATTGGAGGATGGGTCCCACCTGAGCAGGACAGAGGGGCAGCACCTAAGAGCTGTGGTGTTTGATGCTGTTTGATGGCAGTGCTGTGCCTGCCTTTCCCTGGTGTGTTCCTTTATGTGCTGTGGGACAGCAAAGCCAAGATGTTCAGCTCGGGTTAAAGTAATGGTAGAGGGTGGGATTCAGCCTGTGGCACATGGCTGCCTTCATCTGAGATGGCCACCAAGACTCCCTGGACTCTACCAGAGAGCAACATGTGACTCCACTGATGTCACCTTCCCATCACTCCTGTTGGGATGAGCTCCCCAGAGGTGCCTCTGTGTCTCCTCCGGGCAGGAGGAGAGCCCAGGTGCTCAGAGGAGATGCAGGTGCTGAATACGATGGATGAATCTCACACCAAGTGCACTTGGAGGGGCTTTGTGTCACCAGAGCAGCTCCTGTACTCCCTGCACTGCTCTGAGAGGTGCTTCTGGACTGACTGGGGATCAGCATGGATCAGTCTTGCAGTCTGAAGTGCACACGGGGCAAGGGGGAACAGTTGCAGGTGTTCACAGGGGTGCCACAGACCAGATGTGCCTTCCCGTGGGGCTGGTGTGTCCAGCAGAGCCCGGGGCCCTGCCCGTGTCCGTGGGTGGGTGCAGCCCTCGGCTGTGCCGTGGCCCCTGAGGCTCTGGAGTCTCCCTTGGCTCTCTGGAGGAGCTGCCTCGTGGCTGGGCTTGTTAAAGCTGCTCTAGGTACGAGTGTGACCCCAGGACACTGGGAGGGTTTGGTTCCCTGCCCCAGGTCCTACTGGAATGTCCATACAATGACATGCTCAGAAATGGTGTCCGAGTTCTGGGCGTGTTTGTTGGTTACTGTGGTGGGGTCTCACAGGGCACAACCTGGGAAGCCACTGCTTGTGAGTGGGGAAATTCTTCTCCTTTGCCCAACTGCTGAGGAGAGCCAAATTCTTCAGTCCTGGACCATGAATTTGCTGTTTCAGTGGGTCTGTGTCTTTGGACAGGTCATGGATGAGTTACAGCCCTTTTTGTTTCTAGGAGACCAATGGGGTAAAGTGTGTTTAGGCTAAAACCTATTTGTTGCACTTTTGGTATCTTCCTCCACATACACCCTGCTTTTTTTTTTTAGTTTTGGGCTAAAGACCTTAAAGGAAGCGAAGGCCCTTTGTTGATACAACATGTTGAGGTTAATTCTGACCCACTGGATCCCATACAAACTGCTTGCACTTCGGAGCTTGGCATGAGATGCTGCCAAAGGTGACTTTCATGGCGCCTGGTAAGAATTAAACCTCCTGAGTGCCCCTGAGTGAGGTACACCTCATGGTAAATGTGGAGGAGATGCTTTCAGAGTCTTGTGTCATCCGTTGAGACCAGGAGGCTGTTACTGTGAGGCCACACGGATGCACTGCTTGTTCTGTGTCATGTCCTGCTCCATGTGCCTCACTTACACTGCTACAAACAACAAACCCAGCCTGCTGCTGTGCCTCCAGCCTGCTGCACAGGGACTTAAATCACTTGTTGTTATTGCCTGTTTGTATTTTTTTAAGCATTTGTGTTCCACCAACACACTCAGAGTGAGTATTCTCGAGGGGGAATTTCCTTCCTGATAAACAATCCTGTAGTGTGATTCAGCAGGAAGGATGTGGTGGTTAAGGCACTGGACTGGGATTTGGGAGACATGGGTTGTGTTTCCAACTCTACCACAGTCAAGATGTGATGAGTGGAAGGGCAAGCAAACAAAGAGAAGGAGCTGTTAAGCTGTGGCAAAATCATACTTTCACGTGGCCTGCTTGTCTGGTTGGGGTTAGATAGGTCTGGGGTTTTCACAGGATCATGGAATGTGCTGAGTTGGAAGGGACCCATCAGGATCATCAAGTTAACTGCTGGCCCTGGGCAGGAGTTTTGTTTGGCTACTCAAGTAAACAGCATTAGGACTCTTGTTTGTACAGTGCAAATCTGAAAGCTCATCTTGACCTATTCCAGGAATCCAGATGTGGGTTTAACTGCACGTTGCTTTAACGTGCGTGAGATCTCAGATGCCACTTTTCAGTGTTTCTTGGTTGACTTAATTCACTTCACCATTGAATTCTCTGATCTTCAGGCAGTGTTAACTGTGGCTCCTACACCAAGTTGTACTTGCACGTAGATTCTCCACTCTCTTATTAGATTCATGGACAGCAGACCCCACACGAGTTTCTCCCTTTGTCATAGAGGGTGAAGTTCCTACAATTGGACAGTAACTCTTTTTTCTTTTCAGAAGCAAGAGGTTGGAGTGCCATCTCTGAGCTTAGACCTCCTACCTCAGCATCCTGATCTGGTGCCGCCTTCGGGAGGATGAATCAGGGCAGTGACTCAAGTGATCAGCCCACGGGTGAGTTTTCTGCTTCGCCAAGTGTTTGCCTCTTCATTCAGCATGAATTGCTTTCCATTTATTTTCTCAGTGCTGTTGGAAGAGAATGCTGAGTCACAAATAAAGCAAAACCTGTGAATCAGTGCTAAATTGCATGCCCTGAAGGTTATTGGATCTTTGGGGTTTCCTGTCCACATCTGGATTTTGGAATTCTTAGAATTCTAGTCCAGGTTGAAAAGTTTGCTAGCAATTGTTTTTATAACTTCTCACCAGTTCAGAAGCACACAGGGTTTTATTGCTGTGTTACACAACTCATTCAGCTTTTAGCCACAGTTTAGTTTTCTCAGTAGTTGCTTTGGTAGTTGGTTTCCCTGTGCAGAAAGGGAACACCTGCACACACACCATTTTCACATGTGTCCCATGGAGTCTCAATGTGGGATCCTTGCTGGAGAGATTGAATGGACAGGAATTTGTTACTTCTTCTGGCTCAGACCTACCATGTATTTCCTCTCCTCTTCCATCCCCATCTTTGGTTGTTGGAATTCAGCCTCACTGAGTGCTGCTGGCAGTTTCTGCCCTGGGGCAGGGCCTGGGAGAGGCGGGTGCCAGAGGCAGTGCCTGTGGCCTCCCAGGCTCAGCTCGGCCTGGGCTTTTTTGGAAGTGTCAAGGGGCATTCTTAGCTCTGACGTGAGGGCTATTTTTTGACAGTTCCCATTGTTCCGCACTCTTTGTTCGTGGGTGAGGTCTTTTTGTCTGAGGCCTTTGTCAGAAATACAGGCTGTTAGGAGGGCTGTCTGCTCACAGGTTTGGGGAGCTTTCTTTTGTTGTCAAGAGTCCTGAGAATTTCTTCCTTCCTTTTTCAGAGTTGCTTGGGCAAACTGGCCCAGACAATATGTGCCTGAGGGGATTGCTGGGATACCCCCTTGCTGGGACAGCCAGGAGAGCGGTCCTCAGAACCACACCCCGAGTGCCCTGCTCTGGCTGTCACAGGCCACGTGGCTGTAGGCAGAGCAAGTTCATGAGTTTGGGGTTCTGAGCACCTGCCTGCACTAAAGCCCTTGCTGTTGTCTATGGGTTTGAATCTGGGAGCTCAAGAATGGAAAATTTTAGAAAAATTCCTGTGGTAGGGGAAAGTATGTATTCTGTAATACTCAGCATGTGTTTTTATTACTGTGAACAGGTGATGATTGCACATCAGGATGCGTGGAGATTCATGAATCATCCACAAAAGGACATTGGGGCTGGGTTTTTGGAAAAAGACTTTCAAGGCAAATCTCTATAAGACATCCTGGGTGCTCGTGAGAAATGTGCAGTCAGAGTGTTCACAGATTGCTCACTGCAGCCTTGTGTTTTGTAGGGGCAATAAACCTCGTGGTTTGAGTTTAGATCCACTCTCTAAAACAGGCAGAGGAGCCAAGCTGTCCAGAGGGACACATTTCCAATGTGTGCATTTTATACCTTCTGTTGAAGTGCTCTTGGAGTCAAGTCCTGGGTTGGACAGGTGTGATCCCCTGGTGATTTATGTCTTGGCTGAAGATAGGGATCTTCCACTTCGGGCCTCCATTTGTTCAGCTTCCAGCACCACCTATTGAGTTTGACATTGTCAGTTCACTTCATTCTGAGCTGCCGCTGGAGCTATACTTAGAGAGGAAGGATATTATAATCTTGTGAAAGATTAAAATATTGTTACTGTAATCCAGCTGGAAGGGGAGCACTTTTCTCAGGGTAGGAGACAGCCAAGGTTTTTCCTTTCTGTCCTCCCCTTGTATACAGGAAGGAAGTGCTGGCAAAGGCCCCCTGGGCTTCCTGTCGACTCAGGAGCACATTTCCAGACACAGCCTTCTCCACCATCCATCACCCAGCCCGGCCAAACAATCGTGGCAGCGCCAGGGAAAAACACCCGGCTGGGATAAACAGCAGGGAGGAGCAGGAGCTGCTCCCTGGGAGCGGGGCACGGGCCAGCTCCTGCCGTGGCTGGGGCTGACAGCAGGGCACCCCTGCCATGCCCAGGAGCTTCATCATCCAAATCCCCCTTCAGAAGAAGCAGCTTAACAAAGGAAATGGAGGGGGAAAGGAGGAGAAGGGCTGATGTTTTGTAAAGAGGTTGTGGAGGCACTCTTTACAACACTGGCAGGTTGTGGAGCCTGGAGCCAAGGAGGTGACCGGGGATGCTCCCAGGTGCAGAGCACGCTGGGGTGATGTGTGAGTAACTGGGATGGAGGCAGAGCTTTCTGTCAGGTCTTCAGGGCAGGGCAGTGCTGAGGCAAAGGCCATCTGTGATGCCTCAAAGAAGGGGGAACCAAGTAGGGTGGAAGCCTGACCTTTAACTGAGTCACCTTTGCTGAATAGGATTCTCTCCAAGAAGATACTCAGAACTGAGCTGGGATCTTTTTCCCTGGATCACTGCTTTTGTTTAAACTCTGCATTACAATATTTTGGTAATATTTTCATATCTGTCTGCTCTGTACTCTTTTTTTAACTTGAAACAAGTGTTTGGGTTTATTTTTTTTTCTCATTATGGTTTTAGTATCCTCACAAACTTTGAGCTGGGAATTTCTCCCTACACCTACCTTAAGGAGGTTATAGTGAGATAGTGGTTGGTCTCTTTGGTCGTGTCCCACAATACAGGACGAGAAGAAATGGCCTTAGGTTGTGCCAGGACAGATTCAGATTAGATACTGGAAAATATTTTTTCATTGAAACGGTGTTCAGGTATTGGAGTGAGTTGCCCAGAGAGGTGGTGGAGTCACTGTCTCTGGAAGTGTTCAAGAGGAGCCTGGATGTGGCACTTGGGGTCCCAGTTCAGTGTTGAACGTGGTGGTGATGCTGGTTGACAGTTGGACTTGATCTTAAAGGAATTTTTCCGCCTTAATGACTCCATGATTCTGTGACTCAATATTTGAGGCATAGTTCTCCTCACACACCTGTCCAGAATGCTCTGTGGGTAAGCTGATACCTGGATTGCTCTGTCCAGGTGTGAGCACAGAGCCTGCTATCATTGCCATGTTCTCACTGTTTTGGAACCATTGATTGTTCCTGGGCCTGAGATGCTCCAAAGCTCCCTCCCAGTAGTTGTCCAATAGCAGGAGGACTGGCTTGTACGTGGGAATGGAAGGAGGGAGAGGGAGAGGCTGTGAACCAGCAAAGCCCTTGTGCCTGCCCTCCTTGTGTCACACTGCTGCTGCCGTGGCTGAATGGAGCTCTGAGTCTGAGCACAAGCTCAAGCTCAGGCTCAGCCAAGCACATCAGCTGGTGAATTAGTGCAGAGATAAAACACCTCCACAAAGAGTGGATTTCTCCATTTGGGCCACTGGGGGATATAATTCAAGTTAAGAGTCCAGCGTAATGGTAAATTTGGAATTTCCCCTGAAACTTCAGCAATTGCTCATAGTGTAAGAAAATATTTTGTGGGGTTGCTTTTTTCCTGAATTAACTGATGCTAGAGGATTCCATCAACCTTTCCTTGGAGTTTTCTCCCTGAAAAAGCCTGTTAGTAATTCCTGCAGCATGACCACCTTAGCAGTGTGTCCAGTGTGCTCAGGGTCAAAAAGTACTTAGTTAAGGCTTTGTTTTGGCAAAACTGGGATGAAACTTGACTATGAGTGTAAGCTCTTGAATTAAGGACAGAGTGTGTTGTTTATTGAGAAGGTTTTTAGGCTGGAGTTGCGGAAGTAATTGGTAAAGGCTTCTCAGAAGCAAATTGTATGCTCCTGGAATCTGCCTGCCCATTCTGCCCCTGCATGCACACTGACTGTGGGGTGGGGCATTTGTAACACATTCTTTCTGCACAGTTTATGCTTTCTATACTTTTTTTGCCGTGTGTAACTCTTAACAGTCTTGATAAGCAAAGAAAATCCCCAGCTCTGTGCTGGCTACCTGCAGGAGCACCTTCTCTGCCCAGCCAGATGTGCCTTTCTGGGATTCTTTCATTCATTCCCCCGTTTCACATTTTTACTGTCCTTTGTCTGGGCTTGCACCAGGCGTGGGGAGGGCAGTAAGCTCCTTAAATGCCTTTACAATACCCTGTGGGACAGAAATTATTTCTTATTTAAGATCTTTACAGAATGCAGGATTATGGAGCCCTCATTTAAAAACTGAAGGCATGTCTGCAATGCTAACAATTATTTTTAAGTCCACCAGAAATGCACATGAACAACAGCAATTGAAAAAGAAGGGAAGGTAAGAAGTTACTGGGAATGGGATGGATAATAAACAGTACTAAAGGCTGCGTGGTCATGAAAACATTCCCCCAAAAACTCACCCATCTGGCCTAGAGCAGGGGAATGGCAGGTTTCCCCACTGCTCAGCACTGAGTGTAGGTGCTGGCAGTGGAAGCTGTCAACTTTAAAGTTAAAAAGGCAAAACACAACAACCCGGTTTCAGGTCCTGCTGCAGCCCCGCAGTCCCAAGCCCGTTCAGGGCATTTGACACTCTCGTTTCCCTCTTTGGGACAGTGTTAATCTTCCCCTTTGTGAAGCTGTTTGACTGTACATGGGAAAGTGCTCATGTTAACAGCATGCAAAATTTCTTAATTTCCTTCTAGACAATAATTGATTGTGTCTTTGCTTGTTCTGACCATCCTGATGAGAAGAGTAGAGGAGACTGAGGGGAGACCTCACTGCAGTTCCAACTGCCTGGGCAGGGGCAGAGGAGGGGCAGGACTGAGCTCTGCTCTGGGGGCACCAGGGACAGCCCCCAGGGAATGGCTGGAGCTGTGTCAGGGCAGGCTCAGGGTGGATCTCAGGGAAAGGTTCTTCCCCCAGAGGGTGGTTGGCACTGAACAGGCTCCCCAGGGCAGTGGGCACAGCCCCAAGGCTGCCAGAGCTGCAGGAGGGTTTGGATGATCCTCTGGGGCACAGGGGGTGATCCTTGGGGATGGGCCTGTGCAGGGCCAGGAGTTGGATTCAATGATCCTTGTGGGTCCCTTCCAGCTCTGCACATTCTGTGACTCTGTGAGACATCACTGGAACAGGCAGTGGGTGTGATTCTGTTTGGTTCCTCCAGGCACCGCTCTCTTAGTT